CTGTTTATTTATTTTTGGTTAATTTTTGGCAAATAGCATTAAGCGATAATGTAAATTTTGCAATAATATATTTTTCTTTTTCCGGTCTTTCGGCTTCCAGGAGTGGATATGGAATATGTTCGAAGCGCCGCCCCATGTGAAGCATTATTTCGACTGCCTTCGTCAGGTAAAGTGCAGTGAATGAATTGCACATTTTGCCTACGCGCTTCTCGCCTTTCACCTCTTGCGGTCTTATGTGCTTTCAGGTCAGTAGGGTTCCTGTCCTTGCGACTCCTCCTGCTGAGATGCTCGAAACCATCGTTGTGACGCTGCTTCGCAACAACATTTACAATTTCTACACTGACGATAGAAAGGTTTGTGCTGTGCACGTGACATGACTTTGATTGTGCATAAGTTAACCGGTTCTGCGTAATTTATAGTACATCCTCAAGCGCTCTCGATTTTCCGATGATACCATTACGATAATCCAGGAACTAAAGTATGACCTGTGATTTATGATCCTCTTTGTCGCTTTCCATGTGCCTAGTTTTCACTTTGTTTCAGTCCGCCGAAATACTTAGTCGAATTTTTCGATCGATCACAATATGAAAAGGCGCGTGCAGATTTTGAGGTATGAAATAAACTTTATTGATGTAGATCTTTCGTAAATGTACGCCTAGTACCAAGCAATTTTGTAGCAAGCGTTTGAAATTAATAAGCTCTTCTGAATGTTTCATCCTGGGTAAATTAACGGTCAGGAGCCTTCCTTGGGATGTGTTTGTAAGTTTGTGATATTCACTGTAATTGCGGCCTTAAAACGCATTTGTTATATGGCACCAGTTGCTGTATCGAAGAAGGAAATATTTTTCTCCGTAAATCAGTCTGACCTTATTTCTCCATGTTGCGTGCTGTCCTCCTGGTCGACGTCTGCAATGTTTCAGCCCTTTTAGGAGTAGGCAGTGACAGTTAATAGCTAGTATTTTACCGACTGGTTTTATGACGTATTCTAGCTGCATTAAAGGGCATTTAAGCAAGTCACGACTTCGTAGTATTTGAGAAGCTGCAGCGTGTATATAAATCTAGCATGATTTGATTGACTACAGGATCGCCTTTGTTTTTGAAGGTTAAGAAATTGATTCTGGTTATAAGAGTCACACTGCATTAAACAAGCATGCCATACGGCTCTGTCAGTAGGACTGTAGAATACACGTCGCATTTTCTTGATAAGGAACTGGTGAGTTGCTTGAAGGAGAGGAATGAATTCATATAATTTCATACATAGTTCATCTCACTCAGTTGATACGTACAGGTTTTGGTTGCCATATTTACTGAGATCCAGCTACGGAGAGAAATGCATACTTGAGCAGCTGACCAACTACACTGTTCATGCCTACCCCTTGTTATGTTTCATTGAGCTGGGATCATATTATATAATATTCACTTTGTGTATATTCACTTTGGTACATATCCCTATTTTTAAAAGAGGTTTCATGGCGTATAATGCAATGTTGATATGAATCAAACATATTATGTCCACATTTCGATTCGCATTTCACGTATTCATTGTGGGTGAATGATGTGGTTGTTTTCTTTTCGTTGTTGAGGCCATTTGCAGCTGGTGATTCGTTTGGAGCCTAGGGACCTAAAGCATACCTTTTATGTCACGTTTTCTCTGTGACCATTGCACGAGTAAAATCCTCCATATTAGAACTACTTGTTGAGATTCGTCAGACCCCCAAAATGAATATGCTTCCGCAGAACAAAGAACATATATTGTCACACTCGCTGCATGTTAAGCGCATAGCACTATCGTGCTACCGGTTTTCACAGTGTCAGTGATGCGAATTGCATATGTTCACTGCAGGCAGTGATACACAATGGAGAGTGACCTCGTAATTAAGTATAGTTAAGGATCTCTATGTACATGTTATCAGCCAGGAGTGTCCGATCGTAAATGCAGTCACAACGGATCTGGTAGTACTTATCAACTTTGTTAGGAAAAAGGCGAGTGATCTGATCAGGTCTCGAAATCGTAACCTTTCGGTTCTGAGTCTGACGTTGTATCGACTGAGTCTACGACTCATAACGTCATTCTGTATATATGATGTTACCGCATGTCTTGGATAAGTAATGTCC